AGTTGGTCACCCCAAGGACAGGTGACTGGCCTAAGGCACATAGATCAGAATGATAGGATACTGGAAGAGAACCCAGGTAGGACTGGGAGGCACAATTTAGCAAATTTTCTCCTGCTCTGAGGGCCTTGACATGAGTGGCTTCCTGCTAGGAGGCAGGAAGATCACACTCTGAACTTCTATGCTTTTCCATGACATCAAGGTGTTATAAGACTAGACTTTACGGGAAACCTTTTCCTTCCTTCTTGTAACTGTTCTCAGCAGGAGCTATGCGGGCACAGGTGACTTGTCCCATGGGCACCCTGTAGTATGACAACCTTCCGTTATCTTTAAGTCCAGGGCTGTGGCGGCTCCTGGGGTTGGGGTGTGACTTCGTGTCACTCTCCACAGTCAGTTCCTGCTCGAGTCTCTATCCCTGTTGCTACAGGAGCCTAATGCTCTGGGTAATGGCTTTCCCCAGGCTGCATTAAGGACACATAATGCAGAGGCAATGCCCAGTGTGTGTGTGTGTGTGTGTGTGTGTGTGTGTGTGTGTGTGTGTGCTGGGGGGGGGGGGGGGGGGGGGGGGGGGGGTGGGGTGGGGTGGGATCAGCTCTGAGGATGGTGTGGTTTCCAGCAATAACAATAGTTGCTGGGGCCAGTGCCATGAGGGCACAACACTAGGAGAAGGACTGCCAGACAGACACTATGTCCTTAAGCCAGGTGAGCAGGCTCTGTTCAAACCAGAGTCTTCAGCAACGGGGATGAATGGACATATGGATCTCTTTTGTCTGCAGAGGATAGGTTCCCAGACCCCAGTGGGTAATTGAGACTGCAGATAGAACCCTGACCGTGAGCTTCAGTGGTTCAGTCTGTTCAATAGCTGTGCCAGTGATCAAGTGACTGACAGGTTGGTGGCCACTATAGAGAAGATGCACCTGGCAAAGAAAGAAAGCACTCCTGTACAGATGGGTCAGAAGGTGTTTTAGGGAGCAGCTCAGAGCAGGCGTGTCTTCATCCATGGTTCTCAACCTGTGACTCACAACCCTCTTGGAGGTCAAATGACCCTTTCATGGGGGTCACACATCAGCTATCCTGCATATTTAGATATTTACATTATGATTCATAGCAGTATCAAAGTTACTGCTATGAAGTAGTAACAAAAATAATTTTATGGTTGGTGAGGGTCAACACAACATGAGGAACTATAGTAAAGCATTGTAGCTTCAGGAAGGTTGAGAAACACCAGTTTGTTTGTGGGGTGGGAAAGGGACAGGTCCTGCTGTGGCTAGATACCAGCGCCAGGCTAAGGTGCTGGAACTGGACTAGGGAATGTCTTTGCGACTCCAAGGGAGACTTTACTCAGGAATTTGTCCAGCTAAGGGTGAAGGAAAGCAGGAGTCAGGTGCCAGCCATGTGCTGGGGCAGGAGGGAGGCTGGAGCAGCATGGATGGGTGGGAAGTAACCCAGTGGGTGGCCTGGTGAGGGTGGAGGTCAGCAGGCCTACTTCAAGAAGGCAAGCTCCTGGCCTGGAGCCAAGGGTGGGGATCTGGTGAGATAGGGACCCAGGGGTTTTGGAGATGAGAGTCTCAAACTAGAGTTGGCTCAGCCCTAGGAGTTCACAAGCTTCTGCAGGGTCGGTGGAACACTTCTGTGTCTGGCTCCTAGAATTGTTGGATACATTGCCTCAGGCTGAAGATCCAGAAGGACGCTCGGGGGCAAGTGGACTGAGGCCTAGTGAACCTAAGGCATGTCTCCTTTCTGACAGAGAGACAGAGACAGAGAGAGAGATTGTTAATTGGTAAGGTAGGGTGGGGAACGCTCCCTGGAGTGAAGGGACAGATAGGAAGGCAAAGGCCCTGGAGCCGTTTCATCTTTCATAGGTGGGAGGAAATGCTTGACTTTATAGGACATGAAGAATGTCTCTCCTGTCTGCCTGGAAAGATCATTTTGTATTTGTTGTTCTTCGAAGCCAGGGCTTCCTACATGCTAGGCAAGCACTCTGCTGCCGAGCTGCAACACCTCAGCCTCCTAAGTAGCTGAGATTACCTGTACCACCATGCCTGGCATAGCTAGAATTTGTTTGTTATTGTGTTTGGGGCAGTGTTTATGTGTATTGGCATGCAGGTGGAAGTCAGGGGACATTCCAGATGCTAGGTCTCTCTTTCCACCTCATGGGTTCTGGGGACTGAGCTGCGGTCATCAGGCTTGATGGTAAGTGCTTTTACTGACTGAACCATCCAACCAACTTTAAAAAAAAAAAAGACAGTATTTCACTATATATTTCTTATTTCTCGCTGGCCTGCCTTCCCATTGTTGGGATTAGTGGCACTATGCCCATCAACAAACAACATATTCTCTATGGCTTCAGGAACTCTTTTTTTTTTTTTTTTTTTTTTTTTTTTTTTTTTTTTTTTTTTGGCTTTTTGAGACAGAGTTTCTCTGTATAGCCCTGGCTGTCCTGGACTTGTAAGACCAGGCTGGCCTCGAACTCAGAGATCTGCCCACCTCTGCCTCCCTGAGTGCTGGGATAACAGGCATTCAACACTTAGCATGGTTTGGCTTTAGGAAATCTTGTCCCTACAGAAAACTAAGCCAGTGCTCCTGATCATGAGCACATTTTTAATCCTAACACATGGGAGGTAGAGACAGGGAAAATCAGAAGTTCAGGATCATCCTTAACTATATAGTTTGTTCAAGACCAACCTGGATCCCATGAGTCCTGATCTCAAAAACTCAAAACCAAACCTAAGCAAAACAAGATATGAATAATGATAAAGATGTTTTAAAGCAAGCCATTCATGTGCTGGGATCATGCTGGAAGCCAAGCAGTCAGGACAGCAAGTGCTGGAGGGACAGAAGAGCAAGATCTGGCTGCAGGAAGCATCTTGGAGCAGCTGTGGCTGGTCCCTGAGCCACATCTGCATAGTTGGCCCACATTTCTTGGCCTCTGCCTGGATGCTCCTCCATGAGTCACATATGTTCAGAGCCCCTCATCCTGGCCAACATGTGATAGTGTCAGCAGGGAGCCCCTGCCCCCCTCCCGATAGAGCCCAGATCAGCCCTGGCTACTGCGGAAGTGGTCAGCAGAGGTGCCACGTCAGCCGGGGCCTGCAGAGCAGCGATTCCTCCTGCCCTGGCCCACCGACCTGGCTGGAAAGGCATGCGTGTTTGCAGGGGCTGACGCACTGCTTACAGTTCTTTGCAAGCCTTAGTCATCAATCCTGGGAGATCTTATCTGTGTTGCAGAGGGAAACTGATGCTCGCTCCCGAGCTTGCCTGGAGTAACAGAGCCTAACAGGGCAGAACCAAGGCTCCCACCCCGGAAGGTGGGCTGCAAACCTGGCCCCCGAAGGGCCTGCTTCGGAGCATCCTTCCGGTCTGTGGGTAATGGGCAGACACTTAAGAGGCTGCCAGGGAGGCAGGATGCTGGTCCTCCGGCAGACAAGTTAGACTCAGCCTCTCTGTTTATCCTCTTCCTATTTTCCTGCCCCCCTCTGTGCACCCTTCCTGGTGTGGGGATTTCTTTTTTTTTCCTGTTTGGTTTTTGAGACAGACTAGCGTCGACTCACAGTGTAGCTGAGGATAACATGGAACTGCTGATCCTTCTGCCTCCACCTTCCCCAGTGCTGGGAATCCAGGCGAGCTGGCTGCTATCTGGGCAGATTTGGAGGGCCAAACGCCAAGAATTTCTCCCATTGGTGCACAAGTGTGAGGATCTGGCCAATCAGCAGCCTTCCCTTGGACACCCTCCCTAGGTTGTCTCCTGGAGGCAAATACTTCTGAGCACCAGGGTGGGTAGGAGGTGGAGGAGAAGAGACTGCCCCCTCCCCACCAGGGGAGCATTGAATTACCAGGTCCTATTTGCCTAGAGTACACCTCTGTCTCATCTTTGCTTCTTTTGTCCAGACCCAAGGTCTCTGGAAGAAGGCCTGGACCCTGGCCTTTACTCTGGTCTGGCTCTGGTTCTGCCTGGCCTTGGCCCACCTAAGAACAGATCAGATGGCGCAAACACGGTGGTGTAACAGCCTTCCAGGCTTTCTTGGCCAAAAGGCTGCCACTGACCCAGTTCCAGGAGGCCCCTGGGTCTGAGAGTTCAGTACAGAGAATGCCTATAGGAGGGATGGAGGAGACAGAGTGATTAGTGCCTGCTAGGGCCAAGAACCCTACTGGCTCAGGGGAGCCCAGGGTTTTGCCTGGGTATTCTGGAGGTCTGGGTGTGTATGGTTGGGTTGCAGAGACTGACTTTGTATTGCTGTGGTTACAGCACCAGAGGAGAGGCAGGAAAAGTGCAGATATGGAGAGGACACACTGTAAACAGATGGGCTCTGTAAACTGAGCCTTCCAAGGCAAAGGACTGAGGGGAAGCAATGGCAGACCACTGGTCAGGCCTTGCTTTTCTGTGGCTTGAGAGAGTCGGAGAGCAAGGAAGGATCCGGTAGCTAGCTGGGTTCTTGCTATACCTGCTTGCTGGACTGTCCCTGGAAATCATCAAAAAGCCCCATGTATTCCCCTGTAGGGCCTGAGGGTGGAGGGCTCAGGAATCTCCCGTTCCCTCTGTCTATCCCTCCACCAATCCTGAGGAAGCTAGTCCAGGGCAGGCACTGCCTCTCTTCGGTGATAGCCTCAATTGTTGTCTGTTTCTGAATATGTTTGTAAAATTTTGAATTTAGGTTTCACTGTGTCAGAAACACCTAAATAACAATTTCAAATACGATGTTTACTGTTTTCATGCGAGTCAAGTTAAATGGCATTCAGTTCCTGTTTGTTATGATGATGGTGTGATGACCAGGAATCTAAGCTTCTGTTGCTATGCAACCAATTTCATTCATCATGGTCTCTACCTCACAGTGCAGTATAGTTGCTGGAGTTCTAGCCACTGTGCCAACATTGCAAAAGGCAAGAATAAAGATGTAAGGGAAGAAAGGTATTCTTTATTTCCAAAGTCACATCCCATAAGTTCCATGGGAGGCAACCTATGGCTGGACTTGAACCTCGCTGGAAAGAAGGATGGAAAATCTGGCTTAAAATTAGAGGTCTGACAAGGAAGACTCAGCAATTGTGAAATACAGCTAGGTGTCGTTGTCAAAGTCCATAACCTGAGCAGAAGGTTCTAGATGCTGTGTGGCTCCCTCAGACCCCTCAAAACAGCAGCCTGGCCATGGAACCCCATGTTTCCCTTCTTGGCCTGGCCTCCAGTTCCTCCTGGAGCACTGTGAGCAGGTGCCTAAATCCCCCGGAGTCTCAAACTGGAACAGAATTAGTTTGATCATTAGAGCCAGCCAGGCCATCCCGAAGAGGATCCACAGAGACACGATGTTCTTGTACCACAGAGGGTACTTTCGAGAAGGATTCATACCTGGGGAAAAGGTTTGGTTAGAGGAGGGTTACCTGTGGGAGTCAGACAGAAACTGGGAGCTCTGGCTGGTCAACTTAGTGGGGTGCTTTAAAATAATAAAAAAAAACTTCCTAAGATTTTTTTTTTTTTTTTATGTGCCTGAATATCTGTCTATGCACCACATGTGTGCCTGGTGCTCTTGGTGGTCAGAAGAGGGTGTCAATAACCTGAAATTGGAATTACGGATAGTTGTGGGCCACCAGATAGGTGGGAATTAAAGTTATGTCTTATACAAAAGCAGCAAGTGATCTTAACCACTGAGCCATTTCTCTAAGCCCTACCCGATTATTTTTGAAAGAGGATCTAACCTAGCCCAATCTAGCCTTGAACTTGTTTTGTAGCCAAGGATGACCTTGAACTTCTGATCCTCCTTGCCTCCACCTCCTGAGTGCCACTCACACCCACTTCTACGCCACTGGGGATCAAACCCAGAGCTTGAAGCATGCTAGGAGAGCACTCTATCCACTCAGCTACATCGCACTCCATGTGTTCTAGTTCTGTTTGGGCTGAAACGGGACAGGTAGTGGGAGCCAGGGAGTTTAAGAAGAACCACTGTGATGTTAAAGAACTGTCCTGCCTCTGTTCCTAGCAGTAATGGCCACCATCTGAGTACCCTGAACTTGTGACAGGGGAGGGAAATCTCCCTCTTGGATCTAGAAACCACTGTAGGTCCTGGCTTCCGAGCTCCCTATTGCGTCTCCAGCACACCCTCTCTTTGCTGTTTCTCTTTTCCTGTTTGTTGTTGTTGTTTGTTTGCTTTGTGTGTGTATGTTTGTTTTTATCCTTCTTTCTACCTCAGGATTCTTGCATACCCATTGTTCCCTTGGCTCCCACAGCTCTTCATTTCAACTTGTGGCCTGTGATCTTTCCCATCATCCTTGCATCTTGGCTCAGACATCTTTCCTGAGAGATAGCCTGTCACACTCTCAAAGCTGGAGTGTCTTTGTGTGTCTTCTTCCTTGGATGTGACAAAAGAACTTTTTCCCATGACTGTCTCTGGGATCATGTATCCTAAAACCACTGGGTGCCACACACTCCCAAAATCTAGGGCTGTTCATCCAGTGCTTACCCATGATGTCCCGACACATTGGATCAGCCATGGCCAGAAAAAGAGACAGAAGGGGTCACCCTGAGACTCAGCTGGCTCCTGCCATAGGCCTGCTCTGTAACATGTTCCCTTCTACTGTCTATGCGTCCAGGGAGCTGACCCACCTCATTTATCAATGTGGGATCCGTCCTGGGTAGAGATCTGCCTCTTAGGTTCCCACAGCCTTTTTTTGTCTTGGCCCATCCTCCACCCTGTTCTGCTGGCTCCAAATCAGACCTGGCCAGTGTCCCCGCTCTGGCTGGCAGCCTGGATTAAGATGATAGGGTTATGTGGCTAGCTTTGTGATTCCTTTGTGGTACCAAATGTGATCAGCGGAACCAGTCCCGGACCCAGGCAGCAGCTCCAGCCCCTGGCCACAGAAGTGGGGGAAGCATTTTCTCCCCTTGATTTCATTTTTTTGGCAGGAGAGTTGGCAGCTGGCAAGGCTCTCACTGATCAGCTAAAAGAATTTCACACCATAGGAGGAGCTGGTGGCTGGGGTCTAGGGTGACTCTGGCTAGTGGCTTCAGGTAGAGACAAGGATACCCCATGAGATGTGAGTGTGTGTGTGTGTGTGTGTGTGTGTGTGTGTGTGTGTGTGACAGAGAGAGAGACAGAGACAGACAGACAGACAGACAGACAGACAGAGAGACAGAGAAGCATTCCCACCCAAGAAAGAGGTTGGTTCATCCATAAAGGACCAAGAGAACTGATGTTTGGGAAAGAGGTGTGGAAATTTTCAGAACACTTATAAATTGTGAATCCACCCTAGTTTTGCCCAGACTTGCCTGCTGGGGCTCTACTCTGCCCTTCTCCAGGCCTCAGTTTCTCCATTTACATAAGCAATAGCCCTTGCAGGTGAAGCAGCCTAGGTCCTCTGCAGTGATGCTAGGTAACTGAAGAGGATCATGGTAGGCCACACTGCTCTCCCAGCAGCTCCTATAGCATCCAGGACTTTGGACTGGGCTCAGGGCAAGGAGCTACAGTGCAAGAGACTGAGCAGTTTGCCCTGCCTTCCACAGAGCAGAAAGACCCTGGTTGCCCCCCTCACTCCTATAGTCACAGGCAATGGCACCATGTCTCTGCCCTTCCTGGAAGCTGGCTGATGCCTCTCTTCCTATTTCCAGAATGCTGATGTCTAGAGAATGCCACTCAGTTGGGGAATTTCTTCTCTTTCGTTTCTGAGAGAGGACCTCATGGTGTAGATCAGGCTGTCTTTGAACTCACGATCCTCTTGCTTCCCCCTGTCTTCTTAAAAAATGCTGGGATGGCTGGGCTGACCCACACCTGGGTTTCAATGTAGAATTTGAGTTCCATCCTAAGACTGAAGGTTTCCAAAGGGGCTAAGTGTGATACGAGTGCTGAGCCTCATTACACTGTGCATATGTGAACCCTGTAGACTTGTGTGGTGCCCAATTTGTGCACTTTTATGCTGTAGTCCTGTTGTGACAGGGGAAATAACAGGGAAGGGGAAACAGCTTCCAGGAATGTCTCCTGAACTAGGAGGGGTAAGCCTGGCCCTCCTTGCTGCTGGCTGAAGCTCTCCTCAGACACAGACTCCCACCATGAGGGTGGAGGTGAGTACCTGACCCAGTTAGAAACAATCTGTCCAAGTGCCTTCTTCCTGAGCCACAGGCGGGAGAAAGCCAGGCTGGGGTACAGGGTCCCCATTATGAGCTCCTCCTCTCAGGGGAGGTAAGGCCTTGAACCAAGAGGCCAGAAGGCAGCAGCAGGTTCTCAGCAAGCCTCAAACTGGATCCTTTCAGTTAGGGATCCAGAGGCCCAGAGAAGATTCTAGAAACAGCTTAGATTTTGGAATGGAGCCGATAAGAAGCTGTGTTTCACTGTGCTGTCTCAAGTAGACAGGTTGGCCACTCTGAATTTCAGCTTCCTCATTGCTAAATGATGACACTCACTCTGGGTTGTAGGCTGAGTGAATGGCTTCCCATCCTGGGGGCAGAGCCTTAACTCAACTGTCACTGAAGAATTATGGGAAGGGCCCTGTTGTACAGGACTACCATCCAAGTCAAATTTCATTACATCAGCTGAACCTGCCTGCAAGCTCATCACAGGAGGGGTGATACCACACACCTGTGATCCCAGCAGTCAGGGAGGCAGAGGCAGGTGGAACTCTGGGAGTTCGAGGCCAGCCTGGTCTACAAGGTGAGTCCAGGACAGCCAGGACTACACAGAGAAACCCTGTCTCAAAAAAACAAATCAAAAAGATTATCATAGCTGAGCTTGTGAATTGCTGGCATTCCCAAACAGAAGATAGGGAAGAGAAGAATCATTGAGCTCTCACCTGAGCATATAGTGTATGGTTTGTAGTATATAGATTGGGAAAGAAGACTAGGAGAGGAGGCTCCAAATACATATATTTGGAGTGAGAGAGCCATGGGGGGGGGGGTCATGAAAACCTTCCAGTGCAGTGCTTTGGGGTCACCCCACTTCGTGTAACCCTTCACCTGTGCTCTGTAAATAAGCCAATAAACTCACAGTTCCTCAGTGTGTGTGTGGGGTGATGGAGTCCAACTTTGAAACCTCAGAAAAGGGGGGGATAGGCATTGCTTAGCCCTGCCAGCCCCTGGAGAACATTCTTTTGACAGATCCCCTCTTCAGAACAGGGCACTGGTCTACTGAAGTGTGTGGCATTTCCAGTGCCAGCCTGGAGGTGGAGGAACCTGTGACCTTCATTGTTAGGGGATCTTCAGGGGCAGCAGGGGAGAGAGATGCTGAGGCTATGGTCAGCCTCAGCTGCTGCTTGGATTGTTCCTGCACTGCCACCTGCTGGAACTCGCCTCCACTGTTTCTTATAAAGCCAGCCGCCGCTGTGGTGCCTGCATGGTCCCAGGTGACAGTACTGCAGTTTTTTTGGGGCCTTCTTGGCAGGCTTCTTGCTGTTGTTTCCCCCTGGGCCCAGGAGAGACTGAGGTGTCCTGGGTTCTCTGACTGTTTTGCCTCGTTCCTCCCCCGCAGCTGGGGGGATGAGATACATGGGGGAAGAGGTTAGGTAGGAAGGAGACTGGGCTCCTTGTCCCTCTAAAGCATCCATCTACCTGTAAGTCCATAGCCTTGGGGGAATGATGCTACACTTGCCAGCAAGGAAGAGAGATGTTAGCCTACCACACTAGGAAAGGGTAGAGCATGCTTGGGCTACAAGCTGTGTGCCAAGCTCACCTACACGGGACACCTGAGGTGAACGCCAAGCCCAGAAGGTGCAGGCAGCTGAGTCACAGCCCTGCCCACCCCAAGCTTCTCACCGATCAGGTGGTCCCAGAGCCCACCAGCCCAGCCACGAGCCTTTCTCACCAATCACATAGTCGCCAAATCCCACGGTGCTGAGAGTGATGAAGGCAAAGTAGAAGCTCTCCACATAGCTCCAGCCCTCCATGTGGGAAAAGAGAAGCGGAGGCAACAACAGGAAGAACAGGAGGCCTGAGAGCAGCGCAGCGGAGCCTGTTAGCCACTGTGCCCACGCAGAGCCCTGCAGTGCACAACGGTGACCCATGGCTCTGACCGGAGGATGGAGAAGGAGGTGCTCTATTCCCACCTCTCCATCTTTGTGTATGCCCCACATTTCCTGCCAAGAGTCTACAGTGGCTTTGATGCCTGCCATACTTCTCATTCCTATGATGGACATCTTAATGATTGAAGAACCCATCCTGGACTTTGTTTCCCCAATCCTAACCACCCCCTCATTTTCTCCATTCCACCCCTCTTGGCCCTGCACCCCATATCCACCACAGACTCATCGGGGTTCCCAACCACTCTCTTACCTGCCATCTGGCCCCCAGCCGGTGGGCACATCTGTGCACCCCACCCTGCATGAGGTGGCCCAGCCGGTTGAGCACCACGAGGTTAAATGGAATCCCCACCAGAGCAAAGAATATGCAGAAGAGGCGGGCAGCCATGGTCTGCGGGCTCAGGTTGCCGTAACCTTGGGCAAGAGAGAGGAGTGCTTGAAGGGACTCTGCCCCTCTCTCCACACAGGGCCACTGAGGCCCTTTCCCTGCCCACCCCACTCAACCTCCACTCCTGCTCTTGGGCAGCTCCAATAATGAGTCAGTGCTCTCCCTCCCCAGCTGCACTCTTTCGCCCTGTCCCCAGTGAGGCTGGGGGACTCTGGACAAGGGCCTTGATATTTTTGAGCCTGTGTCCTTGGACCTAAACCGGGGCGCAGACATCCGCGTGGCACAGCTATCAGGAAGCCGCTGTGGGAACACGCTGTATGGGGATGTGAATCCCGGAGCAGGCAATGTGTGAGTGAACAGACGGATGCTGATGGACGGTGGAAAGCTGCTGCTGGTTTTCTTTTGTTTGCCTTAAAAACAAGATCTCCAAGTCCAGCACAGTAGCACATGCCTTTAATCCCAGTGCCCAAGAGGCAGAGGCAAGTGGATCTCTGTGAGTGCAAGGCCAGCCTGGTCTATATAATGAGTTCCAGGACAGTTAGAGCTACATAATAGAGACCATGTCTCAAAACAAAACAAACCAGGAGACAGAGGGACCTTCCACATACACTTGTCTCAAAGATTTACCCTACTCCCTGGAGTCCTCAGAGCTCTCTCCTAGAGTTAGTGGCTGACTTTAAACTACACAGCTCGTCTGCATAGTGCAATTTACCTGCCCCCTTTTGGGAGGACAAGGCAAGAATGCTGGTCAGGGAGGCTGGAAGCTGGAATTGAGTCATCGTTGGTTGAGCTCGCCCCCTGGTGGTAAGTCCCAGGTCATGCAGGGGATGCCAAGAACAAAGGCATCGTTAGGGCCACTGACTGGCTTTATTCCACGGGATTCAGGACTACAGGAGCCCAGTGCTTTCGCTCATACTGTTTCCACACAACAATCCCTAGGGGCTCTTTTGGGACATCTTCTATCTCAGCTTGGGTCTGGTGGGGAACTGGGTCCCTAGAATGTTGACAGGGATGTGAGCTGCTGGTGGGCTAAAAGGGACTGTCGGAGGGCCTGGGTGGAATGACTAACGCCCCATAGGGCAGCAGTTCTCAAAGCTGAAAATGTGCACAGTTCCCTGGTGCCTGTTGAAGTGCAGAAACTAAGTCCTGGGGCAGGAGGTCATGTTGTGCCCCTCCCCCCAGTGCCCCCACAAGGTCCACTGCCTCTCAGGGAGGCTCTATTGACTCTCAGGGGGAAGCCGCCTCCCCAGACTGTCCCCACCCAGCCATTACCAATAGTGGTGATGGTGGACACAGAAAAGAAGAAAGAGCCCACAAACTCCCAGCGCCCCATGCTGGTGGTTTTTCCCAGGAGGCTGGTCCCATCTTTGTATGCTTGGATGATGCCCTGGGGAAGAAGCTGAAGTAACCAATAGGATCTTGGGAGAGAGGCTTGGCACCTGCACCCCACGACATTCATATACCCACATCTATACCACACCTACACACGTAACTCTCCCTTCATGGCCCAGTTCAGCCAGCCAGCCATGTTCAGTCTGGACTCTTCCAGATGTCCATAGCTATGTTGTTTCTCATATCTACAACAAAACTTTCTCTTTAACCATTCGTAGGAGCTGCATGTCCTCATTTTCATTTTTTTTTTTTTTTAACTTACAAGGTTCTAAGGCTCAGAAAGTTACAGGATTCAGGAGGCCCTCTTTCACGCTGTATAGACAGTGACAATTTGCCGAGGAGCGGCGACTCCTCGGTGTGGCTGCCTGCAAGTTCTACAGTGAGCTCTGCAGATGCAGCTTCTGAGGCCCTGCCCTGCTGGGAGGGGCTTCCCAGGGGTGCAGCTGCCTTTGACACACCCCTGCCCCTGTTAGTAGCCGCAATAAATTCACTGTTCGTCTGTACAGACCTGGGTTGGGTTGTTCCTTTGGTAATTCATTGGTGCCCTAACTGGGATGAAAAGATTTTTGTTCATGTGTCCCCAGGAAAACACACAGTATCTCATTCTTTACTCCAAGCCTAATCAGGGCAAGGGGTCTCTACCCATCCTACCAACATAGGGCTCCCCAGAGGCAGGGAACATGAGGACAACCTTTCCACTCCATATCCTAGAGGGGGATCCAGATGGGTCCTGTGCTATCTATGTGGCTTAACCACTCACTTGCTGCCCAGCTCATTCCCAACCTTGCAGGGAGCAATAGCCTAAGTGTCACTGGAAGATGGCAGGGACACAACCTTAGCCGTTAGGGACAAAGGAGAACTGAACTAATGCTGACACAGTCCATCAAGGCTGTTTCAGGTATGAAAGAGGCTCTGTTGAAGTTGCTCGACTTCTGCATGCCTCAATCTCCTTATCTGTAAAATATTAATATCAACTGTGGCAAACCCCTTCTGTGAAGGTTAAATCTGTGGTGCATGCCTGGGAATTCTGGAAAGACCCACATGCATAGGTGTACACACAAGCAGCCTCTGGGCAGTCAGTGCCCTCAGCTCTTGGCTGTGCAGCATTCATACTAGCCTTCTCTGAGCCTTGGGGGTGATAGTATCTGCTAGTGAGACTGGTGAAAAGGAGGAGGGGGCTGGGCAAGGGACAGGCTACAGCAGAAGTATTTACTGATTGTAGTGGTTGTGGGTAGACACAGCCCCCACCCTGCCTAACTGCAGATCTTTCCCAATTGGCCTGTCCAAAAGTTCAGAAGTCTATCTCTTCTCCGCAGACCTCCTGTCCCACCCCTACAATTTCCTCTTCCATTTTGGTATCTGGCTTCAGCTTAGAGACTTGGGGAGCAAGTCCTGCCCCCAAGTTGCATGAACTATTGCAGGAGTGTGAAGATTCTGCACCCAAGCATGTGGGTCTAAGCCTGGTCCCTGTGCTCTCGGCAGAGGAATGTGGAGCAGGATATTAAGGCAAGCACTGATTTGCTCAGCTGCCGGCCTGTGTAAAGGTCCCCCCACCTGCCCGGTGAACCATCTCTGCCTCCCTCCCCTTTTGCGTCCTCAGTAGCTGAGGAGCCTCTGGCTCAGTGATCTGCCCACTCTTCTCATCCCTACCTTACTGCAGGTGGGGTAGGGTGTCCTCTGAGGTCCCCTCACTCACAGCCCCTGTCTCTTTTGCCCCTCTACCGGGCAAAGGATGAGCTCTATTGGATGAGCCCTTTCCCAAGTGCCCCAGGGTCCTGTCCCACCTTAGAGCCTAGCCTAATCCCAAAGGCTCTTATTTGCCCCAACCCTGTGAAAGATGTGGCCTTTCGTCCTTGTTCCAATAAGTTCCATATCAGGCTGCCACCAGATCAAATGCTACCTGACCTCTATCACGACAGCCCTGTAGCCTGTGACCCAGGGAAGAACGCTGTCTGTATTTCTTATTTCCAAATTTAGTATGGCTGTGTTCTTACAAGGCTCGCCATGCCTCCGTAGTTCCTTAACGTTAGAGGCCTTTTCCACTGCTGTCCAGCCCAACCTTGTGGTCACCCCCGCCACCGCCACCCCCAACAGCACAACCCTGCTGTTCCCAGGCTTGTGTCCTCCACCTCTCCATAGAATAACCGCTCCGAGCGCTTCACTGTCCCCGGCCAGAGCTCCTTCATCCCTACCGAGCATCCCGAGCCCCCTGCCCCATCCCTTCTTTCCCAGGCTGGCCCCTAACCCGGATCAGCAGGTCTAGCGCCGGGCCATCCAGACACGTGTAGTTCTGTAGCAGCTCCCACTTGTCGCGCTGGAAGTTGCGGCCACGGTCTTGAGTCGAGCGACCCTCGAGCGCCCAGAACACACCAGTTCCCAGCACCAGGTAAGCCAGATAGGAGAGCAGCAGGAACCCAGTGCCCCGCACCCCGCAGCCCCCAGCCCACCAAGGCACTGAGGGAGATCGTGGTCGGCAGGTGATGGAGAAGCGGGAGCTTGGGAGCGCTGGCATGATGGAGAGGTGAGAGCTCCAGAGAGCTATGGTGGACAGGAACCAGGCTGGGCAGGAAGGGCCAGAAAGGGCCCCTTCTCTAAGCAAATACCTTCCTGTCTCGTTTCCCTGTTTAGGAGTGCTGGACGATGGGATGGCCCTGCCCACCCTCAAGGGTCCATTTCCTGGGACAAAAATGGCCTCTCCCAGGAGAGTGTGGTGTGCCCGCCCCCACATTAGAAGGAAGGAGAGAGAGCTACCGAGTAGCCACAGGCAGGGGAGAGAAGGGCCCAGAGACCTCCCTTATGCTCTCACCCCCCAGTGTGTCCATGCAGGAGGAGACGCTTACAATCCACTGTGCAAAGAAGAAATAGCAGCCAAGTTTATTGTTACAGGACTCCTGCATAAGGTGAGGGGCGGAAGACTTCCTCCAAGTGCCTGTGTCACTCTAGGTCTCGCACAGCCAGTGCACTCAAAGACATAAAATAGGAGCCAGCTGAGTGTGGGGTGTGTGTTCTGGGAAGAGGGGTAACAGGCAAGAGAACCGGGGACGAAGGTTGGCCCTTGCTTTTTCAGAGGGGAGTTCCCATGGCTCCACCCAGAACAGAAGCAGGGCCCAGCATGTGTACTTCAGATTTCAGTCCTTTTCTGGGTGACTGCTGGGAACCCTCTGCCCGTGAGGGTCCTTTCACAGGGCGCCCTCACCTCCTGGGCTCACAGTCCCAAGCCTCACTTCTGATGCTGTAAAGAGGACACAGATCTTGGAAACCCCCTTACCACTGGGGACTTGAAGGAAGTCTGAGAAAAATTAATTCCTTAACCTGTGAGACAAACCTCTCCTCCGTTCTGGCCCACAGTGTCACAGTCTGCCAGAAGGACCAGGTTTGGACGAAGTGTTCCCACGGAGTCCACACCACCAGGGGGCTCCTATTCTATAACACCTCTGGGGTCTGCTGTCCCTCCAGCAACTCCAGGGAGTAATGAGGTCTAAGGGTGCTCTCTGGGGGACAGGGGAAGTAGTGGGACCCCTGAAACAGGTCCCAGGCAGTGTTCTAGAAGGGCTGGAGAATGCTGACTGGCCGCCTTCCTGTTCTTCAGCTGTGAGACTCCTGAGGACAGCTTGCTGTGGGCACCAAAGTGTCCCCACATGTGTGCCCAGCTCACTTCCTCCAGCCACTGCCCTGAACTTTCACCCTCCCCAGGATTAGTCTCGTCAAGGCTTCGAGACTAATTGGGCCTCCTTCAAGACTGAAGACACACTGAAGGCAGAAACCATCACTGTCATATCCCCAGAACCAGGCATAGTGCATGGTATACCATAGGGGCTTGTTAAGAGCCTACCATGTATGTAGCAAATAATGCAAAAATCAAGTCATCTTTGCTTGCACCTAAGGCTCCCCCAGGAGTGTGTGAGGTGACAGTGTGACCACCATGGTCCAGGTTGGGTTTGACTTCTCTGGGTTCTCTTTGGGTTGGATACAGGAAAAAAGAGCTCTAAGGCCAGCCTTCACATCTTCATTCTCACAGGTCTTTGATTTTGTCTCCTCATGCCCCCTCCATTGCTTTATAGGCACACCTGTCTCCTTTCTCTCTCTTGAGAGTTGCTAGATAGTGTGGGTTGAGAAGGAAGAGGAAGGGCAGGGAATGTCATGGGTTTAGGGAGGGCAGGGCAGTTGGATCTCATGCAGAGATGGTGATTTTCTGTGGTCTGGGGTCAGAGTCAGGGGCTGCTCCATCTTTGGGCTCCAGGCCTCTGATGAGCAGCCAGAGCTGGGAGCACCTGCACAGGAGCAGGGATCCCAGGCTGAGGCTCACCGCCAGCCACGCCAGCCCTAGGAGGATCCATACAGCTGCCAGGCTCCGGTATACAGCGATGTAATGCTTGCTGGGGTCTGTGCCTGCCGGGGAAGGTGATGGCTGGTGTCTGAGGGCACTGCCACCCCCAGCTTCCATAGAGATACCTCCTCCCTGGCCCTCATACCAAGGGCTAGTAGTGGAGAAAGCAGTGGTGGATACTATACCAGAAACTCCTGAGGATGCCAAGAGTCCACAGTGGTCCCAGAAGTAACCAACCTCACCTGGTTGGTATCCCCATCATTCCCAGTGGGCGCTCACCAAGATAACCTGATTATCCCATTCTCACCGACAACATAGTCCCCAAAGCCAATGGTGCTGAGGGTGATGAAGGCAAAGTAGAAGCCCTCTCAGAAGCTCCAGCCCTCCACATGGCTGAAGAACATGGGCGGGAAGATGAGAATGACCAGGGTCCCCAGAGTGAGAAACAGAGCCAGGCCCGGGACCTGCAGGAACTGGGAGAAGAGGCTGCCCTTGAGACTACTTGGAAGACTCTGAAAGTATATGGGGGAGGTCTGGAAGAAACTGAGTGTGGGCAGGGCAATATCTAAGCTCCACCCCCTTCCCTGATGCAGACTTTTGGGTGGGGTTACACCCATGGGCATTTGACATGTATGTGCCAAGCTTTTGGGGGCAGGGGAATGTGTTAGTGGTCAAGGAAAGAGCCAAAGACTCTTTTGAACTTGAGAATCACCCTTGAGCAGGCTTCCCAGGGCCTACTGAGATCTGTCACCCACCAAATCGTCCCAGGTCCCTCTGTGGGGCATGTGGATAGCCTGGAGATTGTTTTGGACCACATCAAAGTATGCCCATGATGACCATGGAGAGATAATGTGATGTTCAGATTCTCTACCAAAGAAAGGGTGCTGAGTAGAGCTGCCTGGCACACAGACACAGTCCTCTCAAGGTCATGCCCAGTGCCTGGCCCTCACCTCTTTGCAGGTAGATGCCATAGTCACATATGCCATTGAGCCTTTGAGGTCACACCCTGCCCAGTCGGCATCATCCTTCTACTCTTCCAGCCCTGCAGCTGTCCAAACTGACTGGGGGGGGGGGGCTACATACCCAAGCCCTTCTCCCAATTTTCAGCTATCTGTCCCCAAGGGCTTAGAGGGTAGGAAGGATTCTACCTTACCTGGGATTGCCTGGAATGGTCCTCCCACCTGTCCAATGTGGCCAGGTGGGCACGCAGCCCTGTGTCCAGATGGTTAAGGAAAACCATGTTGAGTGGAATGCCCATCAGGGCATAGACTCTGTGTATGTGCTCAGGCCTCCCCCACACAGACCTCCATCTGTAGCACTCCCTTGCTCTGAGGGCTATGGAAACCTGGCACCCAGCACAGAGGCAGGGTGTATGTTTAAATGTGACTCCATGAGGACTGGAGGAGGGTGGGAAGCTCCCTGCTCTCACTGATACTCACCCTGTTTCTCTGCACCTCTGAGCCCTCCATCTCATGGTTCTGACTCCTGTGATGGTTCTGAGTGTGGGTGAGTGGCCTCAGGGAATCCAACGGTAAAGGAGAAAGGAGAAAGGAGCTGATATACAGCTTTCGTCCTCATGGAGTCACATTTAAACATACACCCTGCCTCTGTGCTGGGTGCCAGGTTTCCATAGCCTTCAGAGCAAGGGAGTGCTACAGATCAGGGGAAGAGAGCCCAGAACTGACTCCCACCCACCCCACCCTCATTCCCAGCTCTAGCAGAGGCTTGTCTCCATCACCTCTGGAGGAGGGTGGGAAGCTCCCTGCTCTCACTGATACTCACCCTGTTTCTCTGGTAGAACAGTCTCTACCTACAGAACACTCATCTCCAATGATGCTTCCTTCATGAAGCCCTCCTGACTGGCACTCTGCCTCCCTGCCAGGCATGATTCCCTGAGATGCTTTGTGTCATTTCTGTCTTATTACCCACTTTGTCTTGTGTAATTATTACAATTTAATCCCTCTTTGGTGGGTTGAAAGCTCTGAAGGCCAAGCCTAGGACAGATCCAAGTCTGTACCCCACCCCTCCTTTGTCACTCTGCCTGGCTTGCCAAGGAAGATGGATGGAATTGGATTTGGATTTAACTGAATGGAAGGGAGGTCTGTGTGGGGGAGGCCTGGGGATTCCCTGGCAGTGAGCAGAAAGGGCTTTCAGTTAGTACCCCATCTTTTTGGGACACTGAGCTATCACCTGCTGTGGTGAGAAATGGTCCTGTGCACAAATGCCCTCTCACTTCCAGTCCCTCCATCTGTTTCCTGAGAGGACTTTTAGTCCTAGGTGTGAGTTTGGTCTATAACTAGGCACAAAGCGTTAACACACTAGGACCAGCTATCTGCCTAGCAGGACTGAAGTCGATAAAAAGACAGGCACCCATTCTCGCCTTTATGCTGAGAGAGGGCTCTGCCTAGCCCTTCAGTGTGCCCCAGGGAAGTGAGCCCAGGCAACCACAGCTGCAGCCAGCCTGGTCGCCTTCCTTTTTTACAAGTGTCCCCTACTGGCTTCCCGACTTGCGCCTTACATGCTACCTCCTGACTAAACCATATCCTTGTCCCACTGATGGCATTTGGAACAGATCCCGAGCAGAGCAGGGCCTGGGAGCCCCTCCCCCCTCGCCCCTTTACCTATAGTGGTGACCACTGTGCCTGCAAAGAAAAAATTGCTCCCAAAGTCCCAGTTGCTGGGGTTGGTAGAGTTGCCTTTGGGGTTCGCGCCTTTCACCCAGGCTTCCAGGATGACCTGTGGAGGTGGCATGGTCAGCAGGACAGGCAGTCACCAAGTGCACACTGGCACCGAGGTCTCAGAAGAGGGCTTTCATGGCTCTGAGAGAGCATCATTCCTGTTTTTCAGAAACGGACATGAAAGCTTTGATGGTCTCAGTGGCTCAGACACTTTCTAAGCAGTTAGCAGTTGACTGAAGTTGTGCTCTGATGAGCCAGGGAACTAAGGAGGTGTGTGGAAATACTCTTGATAGCTAGGAAAACATCACACACACAAACAGAAACACATACACAAACAGAGACAGAGACAGAGGTGGGTGTAGGAACGGTGGGTTTTGGAATGCTTCTGGAAGGGTTTGCTAGCCAAACTGGAGTGTGGGGCTGCCCTCCCATGGGGCAGGTTGTAGGAGGACATGGGGGGGGAGGTGCTGGCAGCCTCATTCTCTGACACTCTCTAGTGAGTGCAACCCATGCCTGCAGGAGAAATTCCATCAATTCCATCAGAGAGACCCACAAGAGGGTGTGTGTGTGTGTGTGTGTGTGTGTGTGTGTGTGTGTGTGTGTTCTTATGGGTATACAGTGGTTCTATTCACATGTGGTGTGTTGACTGCACGTGCTGCGTAGTGCTTTATGTTACATGTGTGTCTGCATTAGGTGTCCATCTTTTGTGTTTCTAGAACAGGAGCCTTCACAGGCTATAGACTGTGCCCTCAGCTCCTCGTGGGAAACTGGCAGGTTCCCTCTCTGCAGGCTCTAGCCCTCTCCCCTGTAGCTGGGAACTTGTCTTAGGGTGGTGGCAGCTCAGCCTTGGTATCTGGCGGTGGCCCAAAGGTGGGGAGCCATTGGGAAGTATGGCTGTTCCTGCCTCCCTTTCCTGTGGGAACTGATTTTCACCAGCTGGGTGGAGATCTCCTTGTGGGCAGGAACTAACCTCTTAAGTTAGTTCCTTAAGATGTAGGCTTGGCCTCCTAGTCCCCTCATACCCAGACAGCTGGGACAGACTTTTCAGAGCATGCACCCTCTCTGGAGATTTTCACCTTTGGGGACAGCATTTGCCCAGGTCCCTGGCTGTCACCACTGCACCTCTGAGCCCTCCATCTCATGGTTCTGACTCCTGTGATGGTTCTGAGTGTGGGTGAGTGGCCTCAGGGAATCCAACGGTAAAGGAGAAAGGAGCTGATATACAGCTTTCGTCCTCATGGAGTCACATTTAAACACTACACTTAGCACTATGTATGTCTCAGGGTTGAGTTCGCTAGGAACTGGGCTCTCCCAAATCTCCAAGCCTCACTTGTTCTGGAAAGTAAGAGTCTGTCCTGAGACTGAGGACTTTCTGTTCCATCTTTCCTAGTCCCTGGGGTAAGCACTGGCCCCTTTGAGATACAGCCAGATCTAGCCCATTCTTGCCCTTTGACAAGAGAGCTGATTCAAGCCTTGCCACCTGTCTGCCCACTCTTCATTCCCCTCAAGCTCAGGTCAGGAAGAGGTTTTGAGGAGTCCTTGTCTCAGGATTACTTCTGGGATGCTAGAAGGCCTGGAGGTGAGCATCAACCCTGAGTAAGTTTGTATAGGGAGTACATCCTGGAACAACAGGGGCCATCCTTCCTGCTTACATCTCATCTAGGAGGCCAGTTGCTCTCAGTCTCAGAAGTCTCAGGGCCTCAGCACCATCCAGTGACCTCACCTGAAGCGCCTGAGTCAGCAAGTCTGGGTGGGAGTTGACACTTGCTTTCCTAAGCCTCTCAGGCATTGCTGCTGCTGGTGGGGGAGGCCCACAGGCCCAACCTTAAGAACTCTCACCTTCAGCAGTGCCCTGCCCTCAGCAGGTGAGCTAGTTCATAGAGTGAAGAGTAAAGGGCTCCCCAGAGAGAAGCGTGGCTGTGAGCTCTGCCTCAGCCAGTGACTGTGCAGCCCAGCACCCTGGCATCTCTCCGAGTCCCAGCTCCCACCTGCAAGCTGAAGATTCTGGTTGCAGTAAGCAGCTGGGAGAAAACACCTGTAGGGCACTCAGCCCCAGGTGCTAAAGCACGATGGAACAGCCTGGGTCCCACATCAACACATACTATCACTGTGTTGACTGCACTTGTCCAGCTGCGCTGCAGTGACCAACACCACTTGGTCCATTTGCTCTGTCCATCTTCTCAATGCCCCCACCTTTGCCTTTGCCCAAAATATCTCGTTTTGCTTTGTTTCAGGAAGATACGAAGGCAGGAGGGGCCCGGGCAGGGAGTGAAAGCACCCAGGCAGCGCTCATCCACCCTGATGATGGTTGTCCACCAGCCCAGCTGGTTCTCACCTTTGTCTGCATCTCCACCCAGGGACACAAACTGGGAGCCAGCAGATGAAGTGCCCTCCTGAGAAGTGGAAGAGTGTGGGAGAAGAAATTTCTAGAGTGTTGATAACTGACAGCTCATGTTCATGAAGCAAGCAGCTGTTCAGAGAGAGCTTTAGACCACCAACATGCGTTTTCTATGAGTATGGATGTGTCTGTATGTATTTGTGTACGTGCAGATAGTTGTGTGCATAATGTTGCAAAACCTGCACTCCCGATGCAGGGGCACCGTACCGCTCCCTCCCCAAAGAGACTCACAGACCGCGGGTCGATGCAAAAGCAAGAGGCAGTTTATTCCGATTGCGATGGGGGTCGTCCCTTCAAAGCAGGAGACGACCCTGAGCATACCAAGCACAGAGTTTTTATACCTAAAGATCAGGCCTTTACATTGACTAGTCAGCAGAAAAGATAGCAGTTTGCAGTTGGCAGCTTACAGCTTCAAGGACAGTCTTTTCAGTCCCAGGTTTCTTATCTTAAAACAAGCTCACCCAGTCTTTTGAGGAGGGCCATCTGGTCTGGCCTCTGCTCAAGGTTTAGTAGCCCTTAATTGCCAGACTTGTTCTTCTTTCTTAGCTGGCCCTTATTCAAGGTCCAGTTGTTTTTTTTTTTCTAGTCTGGGATGGTCCCATTTCTTATGTGCGTGGCCAGGGGTCAACTTGGTTGATTTTGTCTGTCTCTTGAGAAGCTTGCCTTTTTGGCTAGGCTGGCCTGGCTCTCGGGATCTACCTGTCTGCCAAATGCTGGGATCACAGGCCCTTGCAGCCATACCCAGAATTCAAAACAGGAGTTGCCCATTTGGCAAGACTGGCTGGCCAGAGAGCCCAAGGGATCTATCTGCCTGTGTAGGCCTCTTCAATGCTAGGTTTACATGTCACCCTGCCTGGCTTTTTTTAATTATTATTTAAAATTATATTTAAGTTAGTACATAGCTGTGTGTGTGTGTGTATGTGTGTGTTTATATATATGTGGACATGCATGTGCCATTGTATGTGTGTCAAGATCAGAGGAAAACTTCCAGGACTTGGTCCTCTCCTTTCACCACGTGGGTTCTGGGAATTGAACTCCAGTCCTCGGGCCCTGTGCCAGGTGCCTTTCCTCGCTGAGCCGTCTTACCAGCCCATACCTGCTTTTGAACGTGGGATCTGGGCCTAGAACTTAGGTCCTCGTATTGTTTGGCAGATGCTTGGCTGAGACACCTCCCCAGCCCCAGATAGGCTTTCTCTTCTCACCCTACTGATGAGGACGGTTAGGTTAAGTGACTTGATCAAGGTCAAAGAATAGACCCGAGGGCCTCAGACTAGATCTTTCCAGGCTCTGGCATCCTCTGCACTCCACTTCGAAACAGGGAACCAACCTCTGCATCTACCACTGGCTCCTGTACTCACCTCCCCATCTTCCTGTCCCATCCTTCCTTACTCCCTCACCTGCACAAACTGCTCCAGGGCCTGCTGGTCCAGGCAGGTGTAGTTCTCTAAGAAGCGCAGCTTTTCCAGCTGGACCTGGTCCCTGGATTGAGCTTCTGCCTGCTTCTCCAGCAGCTGGAAGATAGTGGCCCCAAGCAGCAGGTAGCAGATGTAGACCGGAAGGAGGGGCAATACCTGGCCACCCCAGCAGCTGCAGAGCCCAGCTCGGGCATGATGTGGTCCGGACTCTGCAGCAGCTGCCAGGGTGGCTGTGAGGAGAATCAAGAAGAGGTGAGAACCCCTGCTACTGCCCGCCCTGTCCTCCACTGCACAGGTGTCTGCGGCAGGGGAGTCTGTTTGAACAGTGAGGTGCGCAAACAGGCCTGCCATCCCCGACCCAGCCTTGTTTTTCCATGCTCAGCAGCAAAACAGCCAATGCGTGGGCCCCTCGGGGACACCTATGTGCTTCTCCTGAGCTCATCTGTTCTCATCTTCTGCTTCCAAGTGAGGCTGACTGTCTGTGAGAGACTTCGCTGGGTCTGAAGGGATCCTGCTAACTGCAGATTTCTCACCTGGCAAGGCTCCCGGCTCAAACACAGATAGGCTGGGAGGAAAGTCTCCAAAGGGTGTGGGTTGGCCTTGCTTACAGAATGGAACAGGGAGGATTGAGCCACCTATTGGGAGAGACTGGGGATGAGTAAACTGGAGTAAAACAAACCAGAGCAAACAGGCAGATGATAGCCTTGCTTAGCAGCATTATCAACTGCTGCTACTGACACACAGGAGGCCCTGCTCACCACTAGCTATCACTTCTGCCAATGGTTGGTCTTGCTTGAGACCTTGAGCAGGTTGTCTGCAGGATGCTGAGCTCAAGACACAGTAGTTCGAAGAAGACAGAAACTGGAAGTGAGTCTCCACCCCCATGGTGTTGTTGGTGGCCCCTTCTTCCACAGGAGGACCTAGAGAGCTTCATTTGGTCTTTGGTGGATGTGGCAGCTTTATTGACATTATATACTAGCTCACTTAACATATTGCATATACATGCCCTTATTTACTTTCTTTTTCTTTCTTTCTTTTTCCTTTTTTTTTTTTTTGGTTATTAGCTTAGCCTTTAGCAACTGAGCCATCTCTCCATCCCTATCTACCTACCAACCTATCCATCTATCTATCATCTATCTGTCTGTCTATGTTTTTGTTGTTTTGGTTTTGGTTTTGATTTTAAGACAGGAACTCTCTTTTCTGCGCTCCCACTGGACCAGCGAGCAGGCACAGCCTTGACATGCAGACCCGAGTTATAGACCTGTTCATATTGTGGAAATGCTCAGCAAACAACTGCAGCGTTGATGCCAAGGACCACGTGGCCATCCAAATGAGTGCGGCCAAGGTTGACAGAGTCACAGGCCGATTTAATGGCAAGTTTAAAACCTGTGCTATCTGCGGGGCCATTTGCAGGATGTTCAAGTCAGATGATTCTATTCTCCAGCTGGCTAAAGCTGATGGAATTGTCTTAATTTGATCAGAAGAGATTGGGAATATTTGTCATAAATAAAAGTGGAAAAGTTAAGAAAAAAAAAAAAGACAGGGATTCAGTATAGCTCTAGCTGGCCCAGAACATGCTACATAGACCAGGCTGGCCTCAAACCCAGAGAGATCCACTGTCTCTTGAGTGCCAAGATTAAAGGCATGCACTACCATGACCAGCTATCCCACTGTATTTTTTAGTATTTGTTTAGTATTATTTTGTATGAATGGGTGTTTTGCCTACATGTATGTCTGTGCACCATGTGCAGGCCAGAAGAGGATGTCAGTATTACAGGTGTGGTGAGCTGCTTTGTTGGTGCTGGGATTCGAACCTGGGTCCTCCTGGGAGAATAGACGGTGTTTGCTCTTAACCACCAAGCTATCTCTTCAGCCCTTTTTGTGTGTTTTTTAGTATTTATTTTTTTGTGTGTGTATGTTTGTGTGTGAATGTCCAGAGGGCGTCAGCCACTCTGGAGCTGGAGTTACAGGCAGATGATGCTAACAACTGTGGCTGCTGAACTTTTAATCACTGAACCATCTCTTCAGCCCTCAATTTTTTGCTTTTGAGACAAGATCTCACCTAGCCCAGGGTGACTTCAAACTTGGCATTTAGCCGAGGAGGACCTTGGATTGATCCTGTTGGTCTCTACCTCTTTTGGGACAAGATTACAGGTGTGTTATATCCATAGATGGTCCTTGGTTGAGTGTCAGTCTCAGAAAAGGCCCTGTGCCCGGATATATTGGAGCTCCTATCCTTTCCATATCATACTAACTCCCCTTCTTTCATATGATTCCCTGCACTCTGCCATGGTTTGGTTATGAGTC